TCTTTGTTCTGTTACTATGAGAGGTATTAGAAACCTCCTACTATGATTGTAGACTTGTCTTTTCTCCTTTTAGTTCTGGCAATTTTTGCTTTCCATATTTGGTAGCTATGTTCATGAGTACATAGAGATTAAGAGTTTTTATATCTCCCTATTAGATTGACACTTACTATTATAAAATGTCTTTATCTCTAGGAATGCTTCTTGTTTTAAAGTTTACTTTGTCTGATATCAATATAGCTATACCTACTTTCTTTTGGTTAGTGTTTGCATAGCATACTTTTTCCATCCTTTTATTTTAACCTTGCTGTGTCCCTGTGGTATTTTTCTTAAAAGCAGCATTTGCTTGAACATTTTTAAAAAAGAAAACACATTGGTAATCTTTGGCTAATAAATGGAGTATTTATCCCATTTATATTTAATGTAACTACTGGTATATTTCTGGTATATTTAATTAACTTTCCCAAAGCCACAGCGTGTTAGTGGGAGAGTGCACACTAGGCATTTCCTGACTTTCAAGTCTGGGATGCTTTCTCATTCATTACCCCAAACTTGGGGTAAAGGCTGTATTTCCCACCCTCACATCTACTCCTGCCACTGCTGTAATATTTATTCCTTCAAGTTCCTTGAGAGACACGGGCAGCACTGCTCTGGAATCTTAGCCTGGAGTTCTGCTCTTAACATTAAAAGAGAGGCCAGAACAAAGGAATATTAATAGGCCTCTGTGAGCTCTCCATGAGCCCACACAATAGGATTGGTAGGCTTTCAAGGAAATCAGATCCATTCCTGAACTAGCACAAACAATTATGAATTTCCTTGAACTCACCTGAAAGCGTTAAGATCCGGGAGTAAATTTAGGGTCAGGACCTCAATGCCATACTACAGGTTGAGAACCCAAAACATATCCAAGGTAGGACTGAATCTAGGACCTACAACCACCAGCAAAGAACTACATATGCTATATTGCTAGCACTCCCTAGCTCACCTATTTCACTTTTTTTTTTTTTTGAGACCCAGTCTCACTCTGTCACCCAGGCTGGAGTGCAGTGGTGTTATCTCAGCTCGCTGCAACCTCTGCCTCCAGAGTTCAAGTGATTCTCATGCCTCAGCCATCCAAGTAGCTGGGACTATAGGCATGAACCATCACACTTGGCTAATTTTTGTATTTTCAGTAGAGACGGGATTTCACCATGTTGGCCAGGCTGGTCTTGAACTCCCGACCTCAGGTGATCCACCCGCCTCGGCCTCCCAAAGTGCTAGGATTATAGGCATGAGTCTGTGCCCGGCCTATTTTACTTTTAAGAACAAGGAAGGCTTTAAGCATTCTAAAACACAACTAGGGAGGCACAGGAGAAAACAGTGGTGATCTGGGAAAGCTGGAATACAAGATGAGTGAAACTACTCACCTTCCTGCAGGTGCTCCTAATGTACACAGTGCCTCAGTGCCTCTATCTTATGGCTATGAGCTTTACAGCAATCTTTCTCAAACTGCAAAAAGGCCTAATTAAAATCCATCTTGCAATTTCTAGCACTTGTGTTAAGGTAGGCAGCATGTCTACACATCCTTCTATAGGGTGTGACTTTAAAGATATCAGAAGATTTTTTACCCAAAAGATGCCCTTGTGCCAGCCTACTTTTTCATGTGTAAAATACAACAGTTACTCCTACTAAAATTAATTTATTTGGTACTCAATGAATGTTTATTTAGAAGTCCTATCTTGCATAGGAAATAGACTTTAGGTACAACATGGGAATTAACATGGGTTTGACTAGTATTGGGTTTTTTTGGGGGGACTAGTATTCTTAAGGAGTTTCTAAACAGAAGACAAGGTACATGTGCAGATAGTCTATAATGATTATTATTTGTGGAGTGTTTAATATGCACCTGATTCTTTACAAATATTTCATTTAATGCTTACAACTGCCATACAAAGTAGGCATTTGTGTCCCAGTTTTACAAACTAGGAAACTGAGATTAAGGAACTGTCCCAATTTCTCAAACCAAATGAACAATGGAAAGAATTTGAACCTCAAAGGTAGAAAGGATTTGAACTCCAATATGTGTCGCTTTTTCTACTGGTTCCACATTTCTTCCCTACCAATGGTTCATAAAAAGAAGCAGTGAGTTTTCCGAATGGTACAAACAAAATACCAGAGAAGTAGAGGTGAGGAAGGTGGTCACTTCCAGGTGTGATGATTGGGGAAGGTGTCATGGGGGAAAGCAGTTGAAGTGGGCCTTTAATGGAGTAGGAGGTAGGTACAGCAGGACAGTATTCTGTATTCTAGACAGAGGGAATGGTTTCAGCAGGAGGGTTAAAATGAGACCATTTTTGAATATGGAGAATAGTATAATTTAATATGCAAGATTTAAATAGAGAGGCCAGCAGAAGGCAAGGTAGAAAGTTAAATTGAGGCAAGACTGTGGAGTCTTGACGACAGGCGAAGGAGAAAGAACTCTATGAGGCAATAAAGAGCTGTTAAACTCTGCCCCCAACTCCAGGGACTTGGAGCCATATACAGAAAAGATCTAGAAGAAAAAGAAGGGAGCTACAGTGCACTGTCACAGTGCTAAGCTCTGAGAGAAGTGGTGGTGGGGAAAGGAATTGAAGATTCCAAGGACAAGGGGAAGTCTAAGACCAAATAGAAGAGGACTATAGATTTCAGTGACCAATGGATTTTGGAGAGTAGAAGTGTATGAATCACAAAAACTAGAGTGGTGAGAGCCTCGGTGATCAACAGAAATTTGGAACCACACACAGAAATGTGGGCAACAGGAAGAGGTGCTGGCTTAGGGGAAAGAACCACCAGGAAAGTGTCAGCCATCAGGCTCAGGGTCTGGTGGTCAGGTATGTTACCCTGCCTCAGGTTGAGGCAGGCTGAATCCAAGGAAGTATCACAAAGGAAAGGAGCCTCCTGAGAAGAGAAGAACCAAGTGAAGGCCACTTCAGGGGTAGAGGGCTGGGAAAGGGTAGGAGAAATAGAAGTAGAAAAATCCATAGAAGGAGAAGAGGTAATGATTTGGGGTCAAAAAGACAGAGTAGGTAATGACCCTCCATAGCCTTTGCTTAAGGAGGAAACTTTGTTCTTAAAATGAATGAATGAATGACTGCAAAGAATAAATGAATGTAAAGTCACTCAATGCTTCTGCCTGACAAAGAGTGCGTGAAATAGCCAATTAGTTGCTTCACTATCCAAATGGAGAATATAGTCCACTGTGCATAAGCCATTTGATTTACATAAGCTATTCCATAATGGAGCTTATTAGTGTGGCTCCTGGGCTTGAGCCCAATCTTTTCTTCTTGTTAAACGAAATCAAGATAGTATTGTTTCCCTGTCAATAATGGGTTCTTAAATGGGTTTGAGCTTTGTGAGCACTGCCAATATCAACACTTACTTTAGAGGCAATCTCGATAAAGGAGAATCTGATAAGGCACAAGAGAGGGCAAAGAAGGTATAAATGGCAGGTTGGATGAGGGAGACACTACCACTGAGGCAACATGGCCAAGCTCACCCTCCTCACTGGTAAGAGATCGTCTCATCTCTGTACCTCTGAACGACTCTCTCCCTCTTGTTTTTCTGCCCCTTTAAAACCCTTTTACCTTCAAATTTAAACCAGATCATCTGACACTTTTGCTTTTGGCAAAAGTATGGGGATGTACTGAAAGGGGGAAAGTCCCAAATTGCCTGGTGATAGGTTTCTCATTGCCCTGCCATCCTCCTCCCTTCACCAAGACCCAAAGGCTCATGGCACTTTAACCCTTTAATGGTCTTTTGAATGGAAATAGAGGGGAGTGAATTTCCAGGGCAAATCCAAGGCTTTGCCAGCCTCAGTAGGTTGGACTTCTACAGAGGATCTTAAAAGAATGAAAAATAGAAAAAGTTTCCTACTGCTAAAGTGAGGTTACTAATGTATAAAGGCTGCTCTACTCACATTCCTCCAGTTCATTCTTCTCTCTGTTGCTTTAAGGTTTGCTCCTTGTGCTGACAGCTGAGATAGGTATGTATATTTTTTGGGATGAACCACTATATTGTTCCTCTTTTTCTTCTTCATAATTTGGAAACTCAGTATCGCCCTGTGTCCTTCCACATCAGACAGAGACTATTAACTACTCTCTAGAGAATTCGAAATTCCCTAACCAAGTTTAAAGGATTAATACCATTGGCCAAAAAAATCCCAAAGCATAAACCAACTAGATGGCCGTCTGAAAGAACACGTGTTAACAATAAAAACTAACATGGTGAGGCAGCTACATGGTGTCTTCTGCTCTTAAAACGTTTTAAGATCTGTCATCTTACTGAGTTTTAAAACAACTCTTCTTTGAGAGGTGTACAGGAAAGGCATTACCACCCCATCTCACAGACTAGTTAACCGGGACAGAAATAAGACATATGACCTGACCCAGGTAATATAGAGAGTTCATGGCAGAATCTGAACCAGTAGCCAGGGCCCTTGGCTCCTAGTGGATAACTCACTACCCCCCGGGTGGAATTACTCAGGGAGACATCTAAAAGGGCTAAATAGACTTATACTATCACCCTTTCTGTGTCTCAGTTTCCAAATGGGTAAAATGGGAAAAATAATAGTACCTCTTTCACAGGGTTTTGGTGAGGATTCATGAGTAAATATAAGTAAATTTCTCAGAGTAATGCTTGGTACGTAAGTGCTAATTCCCATATAAGGGAGTCAGAATACATCTAAATCATAGTTTGCTAGCTTTAAAGTTCCATTTCAGCTAAAGGCACTGGTTTCTAAGGTTATTCAATTCTCTCTTGGAGGAACAGAGCTATCTCTAAGAGATGTCTTCAGCCCTGAATTGCCTGCTCCTTATTGCCTGCAAATTATATAATTATAGGTTTGCTGCAACATGAAGTTCTTACATCGACTTTTCCCCTTTCCTTTGAGACTTCAAATAGGGAAATCATTTGGAAATCTGTGGTTTGCAAAGAAATCTGTGACCACGAGGGAGCTTGTCTCTCACCTTCTTCCTCTGGGTAACAGGCTCTGCCTACCAGCTGACATGCTACTTCTCCAACTGGGCCCAGTACCGGCCAGGCCTGGGGCGCTTCACGCCTGACAACATCGACCCCTGCCTCTGTACCCACCTGATCTACGCCTTTGCTGGGATGCAGAACAACAAGATCACCACCATCGAATGGAATGACGTGACTCTCTACCAAGAATTCAATGGCCTGAAAAACAAGTAAGTGACGGAAAACCTAAGTTTCAAGTCTTTTAACCTTCAAGGACAGCTTAAACAAGATCTTCCACAGCAGACTTCAGGCTGAAATTCCAAACAGGCCAACAAGCAGGTAAATTCAGCTTTCTTATTATTTCAAGTGCAAGAATGACTCTAATATTAAGGGGAATGGCTGGCTCACAGAAGCTAGTTGCCAACTAAATCCCACCTCAGTTGCCAAGGGAAGCTTACAAGTTCAACTACTGGTGGACTCAGATGAGAACAATCTTCTACTTAGAATCAATCCAAAGCTGTCATTGATAAAGCATTCAGTCTCCTTGGTCAGGAGATTCACTCCTAGGGAAATAATTAGAACTGTGGAGACATTGGGGTGCAGCAAACCAACATGGCACATGTATACCTACGTAACAAACCGGCACGTTGTGCACATGTACCCTAGAACTTAAAGTATATTTAAAAAAAAAAGAAAGAAAGAAAAGAAAGAACTGTGGAGACATTGAAACTTACCAATCATAGTCACCTACTCCAACATTCAAAAAGTAGGAAATAGGGATGAGAACAAAGATAAACCAGGATGAGAGGCTGCATGACACTTTCCTGGCTTCCTCCTCACTATTGCAGCTAAATGTTGAAATGCCTTCCCTTTCTTTTCATTTGTTCTGATAAAACACTTTGTTTCTTTTCCCTCAGAAATAGTCAACTGAAAACTCTCTTGGCTATTGGTGGCTGGAACTTTGGCACTGCTCCGTAAGTTCTTTTTGGAGATGACTTCCTAGGTTGATTTTACTCCAAGGTATTGGAACCACCAAGGTCTCACCCTGCCTTCTCTGGGTCTCCCTCAGTTTCACTGACATGGTTTCCACTCCTGCGAACCGCCAGACTTTCATCAACTCAGTCATCGAATTCCTGCGCCAGTATGAGTTTGATGGGCTGGACTATGACTGGGAGTACCCCGGCTCTCGTGGGAGCCCTTCTCAGGACAAGCATCTCTTCACTGTCCTGGTGCAGGTGAGCTGAGTTCCCGATCATTTTGACTGGAAAGCATACACCCATCTCACATGAAAGATCACTGGGACCTTAAACCTAGTTTCCTACAATTTTAGTTGGGGTGAAGGACCTGAAAATCCTATTCCAGTAAGGATGTTGAGGAATGAATGGAAGGATGGAAGAGGTTAATTTAATTCAGAGTCATGAACCTCATGAAAGTCAACTTAAAGTTACTATTCACAGACTTTCTCCTGCTCCTGTACAGGAAACGCGTGAAGCTTTTGAGCAGGAGGCCAAGCAGAGCAACAAGCCCAGGCTGCTGGTCACTGCTGCAGTAGCTGCTGGCATCTCCACCATCCAGTCTGGCTACGAGATCCCCCAACTGTCGCAGTGAGTGATGTGCCTTATCTTCAAACCCCTGGAGGTATCACTCGGGCAGACTTGTCTTTGGTCTGTCTTGCTATTCAGGGACTTTGTTTAGGAGGCTTTGGAAGTGGTGCCTTATGACTGCACAGGTATGGGAAATGACCATCAGAAATGATTTTAAATCCTCTACCCCACCTCAGGTACCTGGACTACATCCATGTCATGACCTACGACCTCCATGGCCCCTGGGAGGGCTACACTGGAGAGAACAGCCCCCTGTACAAATACCCGACTGACACTGGCAGCAACGCCTACCTCAATGTGGTGAGTCCCTGTACAGATGCAAGTGCAGACCAGAGATGATGATGAAAATCACACAGAGATTCAGGCACAAAAGGCATCATAAGTTTAGTGGTTTTCTCAAATGGGGAATTAGGCTGCCATAATTAATCAACTGTTCTCATTTACTAAAAAACTTCCCTATTTACTAACACCATACTGATAATTCTACCTAATATGAAAGAAGATTAATAACAAGTGCACTGCTTTTTAATAAAAGAACATGATATGCCACTGCTCCTATTTCAATAAATTATAAAAGGCTTTTTCCACCTTTCCCTTTTTGCTGTTTCCCTTTTGCCTTACCCATTTTCTACTGTTCTAATCCCTTGCCCATGTATATCATATAGAATTTCAGCCATTAACTAATGAATCATACCAGGAATATCATTTTAAAAGCTCTACTCTTCCATCATATATATTTTTATATGAAGGGTATATGTAAAGCCTGCACGTTATTAAAAGAATTTAGTTGAGAATGAGACCTACCACTTTAACAGATATATGTCAGTGATGCTCTAAAATATGTTGCAAGTACTTTGTAGAGTGGGCACAACCAAACCGAAAAAAGGTTTAGCTAATAATTAATCACTAGGCCATCAGCTGTGGGTGAGAACTCGAGCTAACCCACTACCATTGCAGGATTATGCCATCAACTACTGGAAGGACAACGGGGCCCCAGCTGAGAAGCTCATCGTTGGATTCCCAGCCTATGGACATACCTTCCTTCTGAGCAATCCCTCCAATCATGGAATTGGCGCCCCTACCACTGGTCCTGGCCCTGCTGGGCCCTATACCAGGGAGTCTGGGTTCTGGGCCTACTATGAGGTATACACTCAGAAATTTTAGAGGAAAGGTGGCTTCCTCTTGGTACATGTAGCTAATAATATGAGCAATATTCAACAGTATTTGAATCATTCTTGGATTGGAGCTGAAAGTGGATGTTTGTGACTCTCTAGAAGGGAGGCAAGATAAGCCCCCCTGTTGCACCACTTTAATTGGCCCTTCACTAGGGTCCTTTCAGGCTACATTCCAAACACAGAGAGTGTAGGAAAACAGGCTCTCATTGGTGAGAGTATATCAATCTGTAGACACTTCTGACTGCCAGGGCATTCCTTGATTTAAGAGTTTCTCCCCACATTGAAAATAAATTACTCAAAAGGGGTAAAGAAACAGAATCCCAAATGAACTAAGAAATTTGCTGATAGAGTCATAGACCTTTGTTTTCAAGTAGTTTTTATGCAACCCTGCTCTACTTCCCCTTCCCCATGTCCTTTTACCTCTGCCACAACAAGGACACTGCCTACCTCTTGACCTGTTCCTTATATTCTGTTAGATCTGTACCTTCCTGAAGAATGGAGCTACTCAAGTATGGGAGGCTAATGAGGATGTTCCCTATGCCTACAAAGGAAATGAGTGGCTTGGATATGATAACACCAAGAGTTTCCAAATCAAGGTAGACTGTGTTTTATGGACTGTTGTTGCCTGTGAGCATGTTCCCATTATAGCCCTGGAGCCGCAGCTCAGTCTTGGTGTCTGTACATAACTGACTTCCTTTCTAATTACCACAGGCTGACTGGCTAAAGAAGAACAACTTCGGAGGTGCCATGGTCTGGGCCATTGACTTGGATGATTTCACAGGCACTTTCTGCAATGAAGGAAAATTCCCTCTGATCACCACCCTAAAGGATGCTCTGGGCCTGCAGAGTACAAGTGAGTTAGGGAGTGAGAAGGGACACTAAGCCTCAGACTTGAGAGAAATTCCAAAGGTTCCTTGCAAGTCAGGGAGCCATTGCGCAAGTAATTGACTATTGCTCCATTCCTATCTGGTAACAACTGATTAATGGTGTGAAGAACAAACAGGGCTCTTCACCATTTCTTCCTTCCTTCATTCATTTTACAAGCAATTTGTTGAACATCTATTACATATACGGTGCTGTGTAGGTACCACAGGCAATCCAAATGCATAAATATCCATATCTACTCTATGGAATTTACAATCTAGTGAGAGAAATTGGATTTACAAAAATTGCAAAGCTAGACAACAATACAGAAGATATTATGTGATAATGTGCCCCTCAAAAGAATAAGTAACCTTCTCGTGAGTTCATGATAATGAAAAATTTCATTCAGTAAGCTGTAAGGAGGAAAAAATGCACTGTGCCTTGAAGGATGAGGAAGGAGTTGGTAAGCAAAGGGGCCAGTGGAGTAGGAAGGATAGATCAGATCAGAAGACTGAAATATGCAGAGACATAGAAGGAGGAGCCAAGAACAAAATCCAGGGTATTTGCTCTCACACATCAGGTATCACTGGCTAAAAGCAAGGAGGTTCAGGATTTGTTTTTGTTTTTTTTTCCTTCTCAGGTTGCAAAGCTCCAGCCCAACCCATTACTCCCATTACTGAGGCACCCTTCACAGGCAGTGTCAGCCCCAGTGATAGTGGATTCTGTGCCAACAAGGCCAATGGCCTGTACCCTGACCCCACTGACAAGAATGCCTTCTACAATTGTGCAAATGGGAAGACTTTCATTCAGCACTGCCAGGCTGGCCTTGTCTTCGAAGCCTCCTGCTCCTGCTGCAGCTGGTCATAGCATGTGTCAGATACCATCTCACCCAGCCGCAGAAGTTGTTGTACAATAAAAGGTTGAGCATTACTGTACAATGGCTTCTGCTTCTTTACTGTAGAACCTTAGATATAATTAATCCCTATTTCCCAATAATATACAGTTGCTCCACCAGCCCCCAAGCCTGCAGCATGCACTGCTCTTCCTGGGTGTTGGGTAGCAGAAAGCAAGCGGATTAAAGGAAAATACATCATCCCTTCATTCTCAAAATGTACTCAGATGAAAGTGGGGAGCCCAAGAATGTAAGACTCAGATAACAATGACCCGTAAACAAATGTCATTTTAAAATGATTGATTTGCCCTTTTTGCTGAGAATGCACAATTAGGAGGCTATTGCAGTGATTCACGGGAGAGGTGCAGATTTAGAACAAAGTAGCAGCAGTAGAAGTGGTCAGAGGTGATTGCATTTCAGCTATATTCTTAAGATTTGTTAAGCCAGCAGTTTTCTTTATGGGTTGTATGTAGAGAGTGGGAGACAAAAAGAAGAGCCAAGGATAATTTCAACATTTTGGCTTAAGAAATTACAAATATGAAATTACCATCAACTGAAATGGAGAAAGCTAGAAGTAGACTAGATTATGAAAGAAGAGCAGGAGTTCAGCTTTGGACATGTTGAATTTAAGATTGTTATTGGGTTTCTAAGTGGAGATGTGGAGTAGATAGTTGGACATAAAAATTTTAGAGGTAGTTTGTATTTAAAGTAAATAGATTAGATGAGATCATTAAGGGAGACAGAGAAAGGAAAGCATTCAAGGACTAAGCCCTGAGCATTTCAGCATTCAGAGGGAGGCTGGAGAGAAGAGTAGGAACAAGTAATGAAGACCAAAAAAGGAGGGCTAAATGAGGTAGAAGGAAAACCAAGGAAAAAAACATATCTAGGAGGAGAAAGTGATCAAGTTTGTCATATACTACTTAGGTCAGGTCAGATGAAGTCTGAGAATTGACCATTATGTTTAACAACCTGTAGATCATTGATAAACTTGACAGAAGTGGGGTTGGTAAACAATTTAGTGGCAAAAGCCTGAGTGAAGTAGGTTTAAGACAGAATGGAAAGGTAAGAATTGAACACAGTAAGAATACAAAAACCTGTCTTATATGTGTTAGAGGGAAGCAAAAAAATGGATTAAGAATAAAAGATTACGGAAAACAGAAGCTGAATTTATGTTTTCAAACCCACATATACTTATTTAGAGGTATGGGAGATAAAAATCTAACATTCTTTCCATACCTCTCACTTTCTTATTTTTATTATTATTTTCACAGAGTCAAAAAAGTTTTTTAACTTAAAAAAAACTGTTTTTTGAGACAAGGTCTCATTCTGTTCCCCATGCTGGAGTATAAAAGGCACGAACATGGCTCACTGCACCCTTGACCTCCTGGACTCCAGTCTCAGCCTCCTAAAGTGCTGGGATTACAGGCATGAGCCATCACATCCAGCCCCAAATTTTTAATATCACTTTGTTTTATAACAGAACTAAAGTCCTATATTTAAATCAATGCAATATTCATCCCCTATACTTACACTACAGCTTCTCTAATATTCATTTCTTTATCTTATTTGTTTTGCTTTTGTTTACCAAGAAGGACTTGCAGTATCTTCCATTTTCTTGCATGTATGAAAATGCCTGACTGTTGCCTTTATATTTGATTGGTAACTTTTGGACACAAAGTTATTGGCTCACTCTTTTACTCAAAATTTTGTAAATACTACTACTTTTTTATTCTGACATTGGATATTGAGCTAGTTCTTTTCCTGTGGCTCTTTCATTTACTTTTTCAGGGTTGGCTGTTTTGTAGTTGAATAGTTTTCCAAGTAGTTCTGTGACTGCCACAGGCCTTAAGTTCTTTTATATGTGAGAATGTCTTCCTGTTTCCTCTGTTCTTGAAAAGTATACTTCAAGGATATTATACTTGGTAGAGTATAATACGTTGGGCTTGTACTTTCTTTTCCTCAGAACTCTGCAGGTATAGACAAAACTTCTTAACATTATTTCAAATCGTCTCTGCCTTACCTTTTAATTCCAGTTGAAGCTACAGCCACCAATTCTGCATAAGCCTTCATGGTCTTCGTGGCGTTATGGAATCTTACCTCAGATCTGTGTTGTGCACTTCTTGCTACCCTTCCTAGGGCTTCTGAGACACAGGTTTCCACTCAAACAGGTACAATCTAGACATTAGAAGGGTTACTGTCACTTACGAAGATCAGGGGAACGTAACGTTTCCACCTTTCCTCCCCTGATGTTCTAGAAGCACATTTTGTGAGACTTCTAACACCGTTCCAAAGGGATGGAGCATTTAGTTGTTTCTACCAGTGGCTAATTTGATAAAAGCATGTTTTTATTGGCCCTCCCTTCTTCCCTGTTTCACTCCCCTGTCTCTTACTCTTATTCTTCGCATTCCACTCCCAAATTATTCTCACATGAGCTACTTCCAGGTGAACTTAGCTTTAGATAGTAGGCATTGCTCCATTGTGTCCTGGCACTGAATGTTGTTGTGGGGATGTTTGAAGCCAGTGGATCATCACTACCCTTTCTTTAATCCACGCTTATAAAGTTATTTGACTTTTTTCCTGTGAGTGCCTGAAGAATTCATGATTTATCCTTGAAGTTCAATAACTTAACCAGGTTATGCCTTGTTTATGATGGTTTTTGTCAATTTCTCCTATAAGACAGTTGAGAGGTAAGAATTAACTTGCCTGAGTTAACAGACCTGCAAGCGGCCTCTTGGAAAAGAAAGTTGGCCTGTTGCCTCTGGAAACAAGCTATAATCTATAGCCTAGGTCCTAATGCAATCCATCCTGACAGAGAGCTGACCATGGTGAATGAGAACTTCAGCCAAGTTTACACCAAGCAGTTGTGTATAATCATGGGGATGGATTACACCAGAAGAAAGCCAAGTGTTCTTCCAATAGATGAATGCTAAGGTAGTAGATAAGACTGAAAGCCAAGATTCTGCTATATCATACTGCTATTAGACCCCATATCCCAATCTCACTAAAGAGTTTTGTTAAGAAGCTTAAAAGTCCCAACATCCAAGGCCCAGAGCCTCTTTCTCAGAGCTAGATATGTGCTATGTTAGATTGTTGTGTGCTGCCTGAGAATAAAATAAACACCAGAGGATCACTCATCTGCCATTGCTTCTGTCTCTGATTTTTTACCCAAAAAGTACTATTCCAGGAAGCCCAGTGTGCATGCTGCTTGGCTACTCACCCTGAATCACTTGACAACTGGTGTAGAGAGCTGGATGTCAGACTAGGGGCACCCACCATGGCCTTCTAGAAGTGAACCAAGGGACTTGGGATTTAAAAAGTGTTTCTCAGATGATCCCATTGCTTTCAAAGATTGGTATGGTAGTCATGGGGACTAGTCCACTAAATTCCTGAAGATACAGAGTGATAAAAGTACACTGGGTAGTTAAGATCATCGAGGCTAGCATTCCATGATTGTTATTATTGGCCTTGGAAGAATTAGCTCTAAGGAGGCAGACTGAGGGGAGCTTGACTCAGCATCTCAAATGAAATTACAATTTGAAAACTTTGGTGGATGTGAAATGATTTGTATATCGTCTTATCCAAGCAAACAAATTCTGTCCTCTGACTCTCTTCCTATAACTGGTAGGATCAATTCAAGATGGCACAGGTTGTCATGTTGTTAGGATGTTATGAGCTCCAGTTAAATGGGTGCAAAGGGGAGGAAAGACAAAGTATGTGACTTATGAGGTTAGTTCCCTCATAACAAGTGAACAACATAATCTGAAATAGGTTGATTGAACCAACAGAACTTCTGGGTAGATTCCCACTACAGCTCCACCTTAGAAAGTCTATGTGATTATGGCTTCTATATAGAGGGTTAAACATGACAGAATTGATGATGATCCCTATCTTTGTCTATGGAAAAAAATATCCAGTGAGTTTTGGGGGAACTCATGACCCAAGTCATAATAGGAATTTCAGGCCTCATAAAGACATCATGGTTGAAGCAGATGTGCTCTGTTTCCAGCAAAGCCCAATAAGAAACTAACTTTTGCTCTTTGAAAGGAGGATTCCCCACCAGACTGGGAAGCAACAGCCTGGGCTCCAGAGTCGGACACTGGACTTAAATGTTGTTATCAGATGAATTTGCTCATTTGCGTACTGTTGTGTTGCAAAATCAAATGGCATTAGATATGCTTACCACAGTCCAAAGAGGAGTTTGCACCTTACTGCATACTGAATGTTGTGTGTATAGCCCTGACAATTCTCACAGTATTACTCACAAAGCCATGTTGAATGTGATTTTTATTAATTGTGCTTTTAATTCTCCTGTACTTACCCTGTATCTGTAAACTATATCAAATATTCCCTTCCCCATGTATCTGTAAGGGTATTTTCGTACAATTGAGTATTAAACTGAGGCCGAATGTGGAGGAAAAGTTAAATATTAAATTTGAACTCAACCGAACATGGACACAAACAGTGGTCGCCAAGTCCCAGAACAGGTTGTACGAGCCCCTTGAGGCGTTCATCCAGCAGTGTCTTGGAAAAATCTCTATTTCAATCTCTTCCTATATGTTAGTTATTGAAAAACAATAGACAATCACAAAAAACAAGTTGGTCTTTTTGTGTTCCTTGAGCCCAGTCGTGAATGGCCCTTGTTACTGGGCCTCATGCCAAACAACTCTTTACAAAAACAGCTAGAGGCCCAGACTGTGCCAAAGCTTCATGAAACCTCTCTTCGTCTATGCACGAATAGGTGGCTGACTCTGGAGCCCAGGCTGTTTCTTTCCATGAAGAAAAAAAAGATATATATATATATATATAAAGATACATATATAAAAAAGATATATATATATAAGAGATATATATATTTTTAAAAGATACACACATATATATATATATATCTTTTCCCTTCTCCCCTTCCCATTGCGATTTGCTTGTTATGTCAATTTGCTTATTATATCAAGTTGCTTTTTGTATCATTTGCTTATTATATCTGCATTGCCATTCATGTGGGATAAAGGTTGTTTACCCTTAAAGGTATTGTGTGTGTGTGTTTTC